CTCCTTGTTTTATACAAGCTGTGTCTGGAAATTCCTGGGGGTTTTGCCCACTTCGGTTTCATGAAAACATGCTCAGTTAAACTCACCCCGAGTAATCACTACTTGGGGGTTGTTGTTTTTTTTTTTTCAAGCGGTGCTTGACAAGATAAGCTGCCTTACTGTTCTGCTCATTTCATTATGTCTATGCTTGTATATGCAAGTAACGCTAAAAAAATATCTTTTTATATAGTTTCTTGCATCACTTTAGTGTTTTCAGTCTTCAAAAAGAAGTTTAGTTTAACTCCTTCTGGTTTTTTTAGCTGTGCAAAACTTGATCAGTTTTGGTCTCATAGTCTTACTTCTGGTAGTGGCTGTGTGAATTAATGTCCAGCTTATATAGTAACTTCTGAGTGTGTTTTCCAACTAAGTGTATGCAAGAAAACACACATGGAAATATAGAATCATATAATAGTTAGGGTTGGAAGGGACCTTAAGATTGTATGCTTCTTTTTAGCTAATTGCATGTGGAATAAAACAGCAGACAGTTGTGAGTGCATGGTCCAAGCAGCCTTGAAGGTTACATGTGGAGTTTTAATTTCCTGTTTATGTAGTCCTTTTCTGTCAAAGAAACAAAAAAAAAAAGGTAACTAGTCTTACTTTGTGAAGAAGTACTTTATTCTGTTTTTATTTGAGAACTAGTTTTGGCTTAGTTTGATTGCCTTCAATACCCGTAACAGTAGGTGCACCACAGAGGTAGCTTTCTGGTTTTTGAGTGGGATCAGTGCTTTTAAATTAAAAGAAGATCAAAGTTGGTCACGTTGTGTGCTTGTGGGGAGCGTGGGAGAGATGGGAATAGTAACGTGAAGGTATTTGCACTTGGCAAAAGAAGACAGACATGGATTCATGCAGCTGGATGATTTGTGGGTATGAGTAGTAGGCTTAGCCTGTAGAAAATCATATCCTAACTTTACCAGATAAATGAAATGATTGGGAAAAGATGCTATCTAATGTGTAGCCACATAAAGAAAATGTTATACTGGTATACACTGGTATACACCATGACTAATCTAACATGTTTACAGATGATAGTTTCACGGCATGCTTGGAGGAAGGTGGGACTTGCATAGTCCTAGATGGGAAAGATAATGTTGCTGGGACTGACTCTTGGGAATAGCAGCACATCAACTTTGCCTGGTGTGCATTTCTGTGTGTTGATGGACTTCAGTCTCTGGCATGGCCAGTCACGGTTGGGGTTTCTAGGGTGTTGTTATCTTGGAGCAGGGGAAGAAAATTATGTAAACCCAACAGAAGACGCAATATTTATTTATCAGTGGACGTTTGAATTACAGACTTTGCTAGCAAGCATTTTGTAGATGTGGGAAAAACAATTATGATCCTCATGCTTATTTTTTTAAATGGCACCTTCGTTTTCGTTTCAGTTTTGTTTGGCTATGCTACCACAGTTATTCCTCGTGTGTACACATACTATGTTTCTACGGCACTGTTTGCAATTTTTGGCATCCGGATGCTTCGGGAAGGCTTGAAAATGAGTCCAGATGAGGGTCAGGAAGAGCTGGAGGAAGTTCAAGCAGAAATTAAAAAGAAAGATGAGGAAGTAAGTCATAAACTTTCTGTGAATTATGGCTGATGAAACAGTTACAGCCATGAAGCTACAGAATGGCACTGTCATGTTTGGGGTGTTCAGTTGTGTCTGCAGTTGATAATTTGACACAGAAAACATTTAGTAAATGGGACAGAAGTGAGCCCTGGCGGCTGTTTCCACAGGTGATTCCAGTTTCATGGCAAGCCTGGCTTCTCAGGAGAAAAGGGACTTTCTCCATAGAGGGGGGGAGGTGGGGTGGGTGTTTTTATTTATTCCTTGATACATTAGCAGGGAGGACATGAACAGTTTACTCCTGCCTCTACTTTCATTTCTTTATATGGGCAGGCAGACAAATGCTGAAATTTGTAGTGCTGCAGCAAAGTCTCTGTTATAATAACTTTCTAAATATACTGGCCCACTTTTAAGCAGTAGTGTGGAGTATTAATCTTATTTCTTTTAAGTTTTGGGGTTTTTTTTCATCAATTTTATAAAATCCTAATGTGAGAGCTGCTGCTTGGGAAGAGGGGGATCCCAACAGGAGGAAATCTGTGGTTATAAACCAGGTGTCATTCCTATTGAAACTGCTGTATAAGTGCAGGCAGTACCAGATGGACAATAACTGGAGGTTAGAGGTGATAACAAGTGTATATATGTGTTCACACATGTTGGTAGTTTTATAAATGGTGTCTAATATTGATAATGCAGCAGTCAGTGGCTAGTAACATTGCAGATACTGAATAGCCAGCTTTACTGTTTAAATATTTAATTCATGGTGTTCAGATGGCATTTTTAATCTTATGATTGATTGATTGGGTTTTTTTTCCCTTGTCCTCCACAGCTTCAGAGAACTAAACTGTTAAATGGGCCAGGAGATGTGGAATCGGGGCCAGGCACCACTATACCTCAGAAGAAATGGCTACATTTTATTTCTCCAATCTTTGTCCAAGCTTTTACTTTAACATTTTTAGCAGAATGGGGTGATCGTTCCCAATTAACAACCATAGTGTTGGCTGCCAGAGAGGTGAGTGCTGCAGAATGCTGCTGTTCTTCTGCTCTCTTTGGGTTGCCCTCAAGAGAAGTGGGAGAGACAAAACCCTCTTGTGGAAGGAGGTATCAGATTTTCACACCTACTGCCTTGCTGTGCCTTATTTAGAGTTACATCTGTGCCAGGACCTGAAAATAAATGCACTGAAGCTCTATGTCATATTAAAACTATCATTATGTGATTGGGACTGCACAGGCATTTCTGGAAATAGTTGTTTTTCTATCATGCAGCTGAATACAATTGTTTTTTGTTAGTGTTGAGAGATGTTACAGAACAGATGTTTCTTTGATCTGTGTGGTACAGTTTTAACACAGTAGCTTTAAAAAGAAACCTTTATCCCACCAAACTTAAAGCTGGTCGAAAAACACCTTTTCTTAAAAACCTAAGTGAATATGGTACAGTGTATAGAACAAAAGTAAACCCTAAACTGCTGTGCAGTAGGTAATACTGTAAATGAAACTGTGTTCAGCATGATGATTGGAATGTATATTTAAAGAAAAAATAAGGTTTATAGTCAACCTTTTAATAAACATAAGTAGCTTACCTGTGCTCTTTCATGCCTTGAGATAATTTGCATGTCTGCCCTAGGACTCATGCTTCGTTCAGTGCACTTCCAGACCTTCCCTAGGGATAAATCAGGACTGTGTAACGAAGGAGGCTATAATCTGAAGGAACCTCTTGTCTCTGCTGCGGTGTATGCTCAGTGCTGACAAAGCAGGGAACAGCAGGATGAGAGGGTAATCTCATTGTTCAGTCAGTTACATGCCATCTCAGAAATGAGGAATTGTTACTGCCTTTGCCCAGATTTTATATATTGCTTAAGCCCATCTTTTCACAGGTGGTTCTTAACTTCTGGCTGGCATTTTCTGAGTGTTCCATTAAGAAGCATCTTCAGACTCTGTGGTCTTCTTTGTGAAGTGTTGAGCATTGCAACTAAAGACTGGGATGCTGTGCCTTTAGCACGTGAAGTGTTTGTATAAGTGCTACAAAAACAAATACTACAAAAAATGGCTTGAAGATATCTTGATCTTGGCTTTTAAAATCAGTGAATGATCTGGATAGTTTTTCATTTTGTCTGTGGGATGGTTTTATACTCCCTTATTTCGTAATATAGTCAGCTAAATCCTTAGCTGAATACTTCACAGACACATAGGAGCATTACAGAAATGCTTATGAGAAGAGAAATTATATTTGAGCAGTGTGGTAAGTCAGCTGTGACCATACATTCTTCAGAGAAAAGAAGAAAACCCAAACCTCTGTGACTGCTCACTGAGTAGTGTCTATCCTGTCACAACAAACAAAATGTGGCCCCTTTGGAGGAGAAAAGGGTGATAATTTGGCTGTTTCAGTGCATACACCAGGGGAATAAATTAAGTCTGTCTTCATGAATCAAGTCCTTACAGCAGTCCTTAAGAACTTGATTTTACACCTTACTAGTTTACTGTGTATAAGACTTGTTCATTTGTCTAAGGAAGCAGAAAAGGAAACTCAGTAGTGTCCTACTAGACTGGCTTTGCCTTGGCTGCTGCATCTGAGCATGCTTTTGCTTCTGGAGACTATGCTGAGGGAAACCATTGTAACTTGGTGTCTGCCAGGGCATGGGATGTGGGGTGAGATCCACCCTCATCTGGGGGGGCTGTACAGTTATCTGAAAAGGAAGGTGGGGGGTGGGAAATGGGGATCTCCAGGAATTTTGGATCCTGATCCTGGAGGCAAATATGTTGTGCTGGCACAGTCCTGCTTCCAGCCCGTCTATTGGAGATTTCATGCATTCCTCATGTGATGACAGAAGCTCTTTTTTCCTCTCAGAGCTTAAAGTCTCACTTAGAAATGTGCAGGATACCCAACGCTACTTTCCCTCATTCATCTTTGTGCAGCAGAAAGTCATGCTCCTGCCTTGCTTTCACTGTCAGTTATTCAAAGACTCTTCTCTGTGTCTAATGCTGAAGTCTTCTGTGTTATAACACATTTAATACGTGTGTGTAATTTGTAAGTGGATCTGAGAAAGCTCTATGTGCAGTAGAGTTCATGTATTGAGCAGCTGCTTGCTATGCAGTGATGTGAAAGCTGTTGTTGACAGTAAACTTTGAAAACAATTTTTTACCCTCTGGAAATTCTTTCCTACTTCCCTCTCTGGATGATTGGGACGGGGGAGCAGAGTGTAGAGCACAAGCTTCTGAAGCCGGACGTGGGACTTGGAATGTTTTAGCTGCTGAAAGCTCGAAAGCTTTCATTTGCAGTTCATGGATTTATTTTCCTTTATAGTGAGGTTGGTGTTCTTCCAGCTGATGCATGCTGTGTTTCTCAACAGCTGCCACTTCCCCTCCAGAGGTTGCATAATTGTTTCAGTACAGCAGAGTGATTTCTGAATCTATATTTAACAACTTGAAGATGCTTCTTGGCTGAAACATTCCATATGCTCCTGTACTAGTCAGGTTTAGGTTTAAGTCTGTCTCACTAGCTGATGTACACTGTACTGGTTTTGAAGGCAGTGATGGATAGTGGAGCAGAGCAAACACCAGAGAGTCCTCTGTGCTTGATATTGTGCAACCAGGGACCCCAGGTGTTGCTCCTTCATGGCAGTGGGTTGTCATAGGACTAGAGGGTTTTCAACTGTGCTAATGTTGCCCTCCTGTGTTTTTCCCTCAGGACCCCTATGGCGTGGCAGTGGGAGGCACAGTGGGGCATTGCCTATGCACTGGTTTAGCAGTTATCGGAGGCAGAATGATAGCACAAAAAATATCGGTTAGGACTGGTAAGTGAAAACTGACTCCTGCCAAAACGATTCAATGATGTTGGTAACGTCTGTGATGTGAATGACTGTACGTGCTTGGGAACAGTGTTTCTCAAACCTTTTGGAAAACCCTAAAACCTCAAGTTTGAAGCCTGTGTGTTCCATCCCATCTCCCCCTGCCCTGCTGTGTAGTGAGTGAGCTTCCCTGGGGGGTACCCGGCACTGTCCCCAGGGCTCCTGTCCCTCCTGCTGGGCAGAGGCCGAGCCTGCGCAGGATGTGGGTGCATCTAAGGGGTCCAGCATTAATTGAGCTTAACAGTTCACTGACTCTGATTTAAGGTATTGTAGCTCCAGGATTAAAAATGGGCAGAGGTGAAGCATGTTTTGCTTCACTATTAGCTGGCTAGCAGGAGACCACAGGAAGGAAATACAGTATTTTGGATAGTTGGTATTTATTGTTCAACAGTGATAATGGAAATTGTTACAACTGAGTGCAGACCTTCGGGTGAGCATGACAACTGTGTAGTTACAAGTTATGCCAGCCATATAAAAGCTTTAAAAGCTAATCTGTGTGGCATACATGTGTTTTTATAATACCTGCTATCTGTGATAGGAGGGACCAGCAAGGTTACACTTAGATTAGATTGCAGTTTGCTTCAGCTGTCCATCCTGTCATGTGGTGAGATTTCTTGCTCCCAGGAAGGATTCTGTGAAGCTGCTTCCTATAAATGCTCACTCTGAATACTTCTTCTGCAGTTGCAAAGGTTGTTAAAAACCAGCTTTGCTGCAAAAAGTGAAATGTGCGTTCTGTGGTGTCTGTTTGCCAAGGAAATTGGTGACAAAATGCTAATCTCACGATGATTTAATATGCTCCTAGTAAGCTCAATGTGGATCTTTGGCCACAGGACTAGCCTTGTTAGGTTAGACAAAAGAGCTGTAGAGCCTGTTAGTTTGTTTGGAGAAGAGTAGGAGAACATACACAGTGGGGCTTTTCTGGAATACTGTCCTACCCTCTAGCTGATTGTGGCCATTGCAAACAGCTAATGTTTTTTATACTGTCTCTTTCAATGTAGTTACCTGAACTGTTCAGACCATGCTCATTAGTATGTCACTCTAACTGGTGGCTTCCTTCAGCATGAGAATATTGTATCTTATTTCCCCCCATTCAGCCAAATACACAACAGGAGGTGTCAACCTCAATTTTATACTAGCTAAAGTAATAAAACAAAGTTTCCTTCTAAGCACCAGAATATATTCTTGTGGATGCAGTTAGGCAGTGGGGTGGCATGTGGGCATCCTGACACTGAGCTGGAGACAGTGTCCGCAATTCACAGCATGAATTTTAAATTAAGGATATTTGGGCATTAAAAATAAATCTGTAATGTGTCATGGAAGATGTTTAACTCTCAGTTTCTAATCTCTTTTTGGTTTGTGTTTCTTTTCAGTGACAATCATAGGAGGCATTGTATTCTTAGCATTTGCATTTTCTGCACTATTTATAAGTCCAGACTCTGGTTTTTAAACTTTTTCATCACTGCAGAGGAACAAGGATTGGAAGCATCCAGCAGAGATCCTTGTGCATTTTTGTATATAATGTACAGAATTGTAGTTGAACAAGCACTGGAGATGAGACACTGAACTTTTTATAGCGGATGATTCATGGGACTGACACGTTCATGGACAGCTTCTGCAGAGGACATCTGCTTGTTGTCTGGTTTGTTTATTCTGTGGTGCCTGCTCCCTCGGTGGGATGTGTGTGGTTTTCTTGCTTGCTGGGCCTGGCTCAGCTGAGATCTGAGGATCCACTCTCTCGAGTGTGGAGACTTCCTCTGTTACACCCGGCCACTTTCCCTGTTTCTTCAAGAGCTGATTCTTAAGGCTTCCCGAAGCAGGCTGTGGCTTGTTCCATGTTGCTCAACAGAAGGCGTTAAGGAGCAAACTGCTGCTGGCTCCCACCTCCAAGGACTCTGTTTCCAGGGTGCACCAGGGCTGGATCATCTAAGCCAGAAGAAACCTGGGAGCAGTTCCTATACCATTGAGTGGCTGAGCCACCAACAGAGAATTTTATAAACTTACTTTAGAGGGAAAACTTCTCTATCAGGGATTTTTATCAGGAAATCGAAGTGTGGTGATTAACAACCTACCATGGTCAATATGCAATCTGTCTGGCGTTAGTATTATTTGACTTTTGTATTTTATTTTGAAATATTAAAGTATATGGAAAGTAATAAAATGGTCCAACTTCACAATGTTTCATTCCCAGGACTGAACAATAATGGAATTCTTAGATTTAGATGTGTTCCTGTTTTTCTTTTTAGGAATAGAAATGTAATCTGGAAGAGTATTAATAAAATATAGTGTCTCCATTTGAGTTATTTTCAGTATTGTTTTTGATGGTTCCTGTAATTCCTGCCACAAAGGTTTATCTAGTGATTGTGTAGTTCAGGTGAGGAAAGTGTACTAAATTTGTTTTGGATACTGAGAAATGCCAGTGTTAAAAAGATTTTCAAAATCTTGAGCGCTGAAGATGTGTGCAAAAACACGGGCTGAGAGAGTTGGGCTTGTTCAGCCTGGAGAAGAGAAGGCTCCAGGGAGATCTTAGAGCAGCTTCCAGTGCCTAAAGGGGGTCTACAGGAAATCTGGAGAGGGACTTTTTACAAGGGCAGGTAGTGACAGGAAAAGGGAAATGGGTTTAAACTGACAGAGGGGAGATTTAGATTAGACATTAGGAAGAAGTATGAGATCTCAGGCAGAAGCTCTTCCCTGTGAGGGTGCTGAGGCCCTGGCACTGGTTGCCCAGAGAAGCTGTGGCTGCCCCATCCCTGGCAGTGTTCAAGGCCAGGTTGGGCAGGGCTTTGAGCTACCTGGTCTAGGGGAAGGTGTCCTTGCCCATGGCAGGGGGGTTGGAGCTGGATGAGCTTTAAGGTCCCTTCCAACCCACACTGCTCTGTGATTCTGTGCTTAACATGCTTTCCTCTGTTCTTCAGTGATCTGGATTCTGAGCTAATGGCCTAAATAACTCCCCAAGATCCACTCAGTAGCGCTCTTGTAAAATAGAAGATATGGTTTCTAATGCTATGAATCTGCCTTTCGTTGAAGCTGAATATGGAGCATTACAGATGTGACCTTTGCAGCTCACAGACAGAGCAGTCCCTAATTATTCTTCTAGGTTTCTCTGGCAGAAGAACCCCTTAATGCCCCGTTTCTCACACTGGAGACTGGAGCAGCACAACGCCTGTCATGCACAGTGGTATGGAAACAGGCTGCAATTTCAGGCTCCAGGTCTGGATGTTCATGCCTTGGCCTGAAGGCAGGGAGCAGCTGGCAAGGCCCGTGCTCATTACTGGGTGAGGCACTGTGCTGCTTTGGTGCTGTGGGTTGTAGGGTTGGGGTTTGTGCTCTTTGCTGGTGGTTGGATTGTTTTTCTTCCCTTTCTTCTTTTGAACCAAGCATTGCAGCCAGAACCCGCAGCCTCTTCCTTGCCACAGCCTGGAAACATACTCTGCCTCTGTTATGTGCAACCCTGTATGTGCTGCTTAGAGCTGCTTTGACACGGGAACAGTTAGGACCAGCAGCAAAATGAAGCTCTGTTTATCATGGTGGTTGCAGAGGTGAGTGTGAAGTTGCGTAGCAAATCTCTGCAGCTTCTAAGTTTGTGTTGTACAGTTACACACGATGTGAAGCGCTGCTTTTGACCAGTCATGGCAGTGTATTTGACTGCTCTAGTGCTAGCTGGGCCGGAAGCAGTTAGTCTCAACAGTGGTCTCTTGGGCTTTTTAAAAGCACAAACATTGACTTATCCTTGGCAATGTATTATAAAACTAGATAGCTCATGAAACCTTAGTGAAAGCTTTGAAAGGTGCTGTAGCAGTTGCTACTAGTTACAGTGATTTAATGTTGGCAAGTAGCTGCTAGAATGTTTCCTGATGTGAGGAATCTCTTTGGGCTGTCACAGGAGCCTGCTGAAGGCAACCAAGGACTCCACTGGTGTGTCTTCAGCAGCCCTGCGTCTGCTGTGCTTTCTCTGGCACAACAGGGGTCCCTCCACAGCATCTCAAGGCACTCACGCCCTCATGCCTGGTTCAGGGGTTGGGATTTGAGTGGCTTTCATCATACATTGTTCTTGTACTTCTCGTGCCTGGCATCAGGGAGGTGTGTGGCACTGTTCTGTCTCATGTACCTGGATACTCAGGATCCAGGTAATACCTTCAGGAGTGCTCTGTGCACATACATACATACGCGTATCTATAGATACATAAAAAGTGTCTTACCCTTTAGGGTGAGTTTGCATCAAAACCTTCCAGATTTTGTTAAAGCTTTTCCTCTGTCCATCCGTTTCTCAACATAGCAGGTATCCTTAGGAGTGGCAGGTACGTGTGCTGCTGGTGCCGGGAGGTAAGCGTGCTTACTAGAGCTGCAACATGTCTGGGACACGCTGTGGGCCGTGTCACTGGCTCCTGGGCTGAGGTGTCCTGCGCCGGTGTCAAAGGCAGAACGTGAGCAGCTCGGGGCTGACGCTGCAGTGACTTGTGACGAGCTGACAGGTTGTGTTCTGACTCTTGAGATGCTGATACACGTGAGCAATAGTCTGCTCCCTGCCCGTCCTTTCCACACCCTGTGCCCGAAGTGGAAGATACTGATCTCTTAGTGAAAGAAACTGTCTCTCTGCTGCTTATACCCAGAGATAAAGTGGGAACTGTGGGGCATGTCTGAGCTAAG